GTCGGTCGCACCCGTTGTCCCGGTTGTGACCTCGCATACACATGTGCCTTACACACAAGGTATACAAGAATATAATAGCGATTCTGTCAGTATGAAAAGGTCGATAACACAGTAAAAATTAAACAAAAGGACCAAATACCTTTCCTGTTTGAATTATCGAGGATTGTTACTTTTATTCTCAACTAGCTGCTCCCATGCGACTTCATCCGCAAGAAATTATAAAATTTTCATTTTATTGTGCACATTTGTCAAATTATCTATTGCAAATGTCAAAATCATATGACATGATGGCAAACCATGACAATTTTGCTTCCTTGATGGTGACAACAACTTATGGTCTCTTTCCTACATTAGGGTTTTTATCCAAAATATTTTCCTCTAAGTTTAACGGCGTAGAAATATATAGCCTAAAGCGTGACGTAAGTGTAGGGCTTTTTATTAAAAAAAGAGTTATTCGAAAATATGCTGTGATTGTTGACATCTTAGGCAACAAAGAAGTATGTGTTTACGCTTTATTATATTAGTATAGATAGTAAATTGGATAAGATACTCTCATTAAAAAGTTTCATTGTTCCACAGAATCTGAGAGAGCCGTACCTGACGTAAGTTATGGTTACGACACTTACGGCTATCAATCTCAATATCAAGACACTGCCATTGAACAGTACCAAGACACAAATTATAGTGCCAGGTAAAGTTTACACTTCATCTTTCTTAATTTAGTAACTGTGTTCAAAGGTTAAAATTTACTTACATTATCTGTTCTTATTTTTAGTTACGACGACGAAGGTATGCAACCTTTCTTCGACGAAACACCACACGCAACTCCTCCTGCTGCAACTGGTAATTATCTAACTTTATCGTAATTGTCATAAGTATTAATGTCAGAATTTATATAGTTAAAAATAACCAACGATTACATCAATTACGAGCAACATATTCCAGATAAAAACTTCCGTTAACTGCGTTACAATTTACAATGAATTTTAGCCAATCAGTATTTGTCGGATTCTGTGTTTATAAACATGTGGTGTGCGTGTAATAAGTTGATACAAAAAGTTTTATTTTCAGCTCAAAAATCAACTTGGGGCGAAACAGAAGCTACAACGCAATCATCTTACATAGTTAAAAGTGATGTAGATACGATAACTTCGAAAACGGTAACAACTACAGTAAATTATTTACCACAACCTCCTGTTACAACTAAACAAGATAATTATTCAAGTAAGAGTTTCCAACAATATGATTTACCTTATGAAAGTCAACAGCAATATAATTATGAAAATCAAGATCAGGGTTACAAAGAGGAAAGTAGTTACTTAGAAACGAAAACAGACTTCCAGTATCAACAATCATATGAATCGTCATATCAAGATAATTTAACACAAAACCAACAGTATGAACAACAGCAAGAACAACAAACCTATCAATCACAATTTGAAGAAAAGCAATACGATCAAACATATGAACAAGATCAGTACGAAAAAGGTCATTACGAAGAACAACAGTATGGTCAAGAGCAATACGATAAACAGTATGGAACACAATATGACTCACAACAATATCAGGAACACGATTATAGACAACAGCAAGAACAACAAGATCTACAGCAGCAATATGAACAAGAGCAGGAAAAATATCGTGAGCAACAATTACAACAACAACAACAAC